TTCCAGAGCTGAGATATCGAAACTCAAAATTTCGACCCGAAAAAAAAACGACAGTGTTACCCCTTACGTTTTTTTCGTTTTCGGGCGAAAAATCAAGTTTCTCCAATCTTCTCAAAACTCTGGATTATGATAGAGGGCCGCGAGACTTTGACCTGAGCGCAAAAATGGAGGCTCTAGACCCTTCCAGAGCTGAGATATCGAAACTCAAAATTTCGACCCGAAAAAAAAACGACAGTGTTACCCCTTACGTTTTTTTTCGTTTTCGGGCGAAAAATCAAGTTTCTCCAATCTTCTCAAAACTCTGGATTATGATAGAGGGCCGCGAGACTTTGACCTGAGCGCAAAAATGGAGGCTCTAGACCCTTCCAGAGCTGAGATATCGAAACTCAAAATTTCGACCCGAAAAAAAAACGACAGTGTTACCCCTTACGTTTTTTTTCGTTTTCGGGCGAAAAATCAAGTTTCTCCAATCTTCTCAAAACTCTGGATTATGATAGAGGGCCGCGAGACTTTGACCTGAGCGCAAAAATGGAGGCTCTAGACCCTTCCAGAGCTGAGATATCGAAACTCAAAATTTCGACCCGAAAAAAAAACGACAGTGTTACCCCTTACGTTTTTTTTCGTTTTCGGGCGAAAAATCAAGTTTCTCCAATCTTCTCAAAACTCTGGATTATGATAGAGGGCCGCGAGACTTTGACCTGAGCGCAAAAATGGAGGCTCTAGACCCTTCCAGAGCTGAGATATCGAAACTCAAAATTTCGACCCGAAAAAAAAACGACAGTGTTACCCCTTACGTTTTTTTTCGTTTTCGGGCGAAAAATCAAGTTTCTCCAATCTTCTCAAAACTCTGGATTATGATAGAGGGCCGCGAGACTTTGACCTGAGCGCAAAAATGGAGGCTCTAGACCCTTCCAGAGCTGAGATATCGAAACTCAAAATTTCGACCCGAAAAAAAAACGACAGTGTTACCCCTTACGTTTTTTTTCGTTTTCGGGCGAAAAATCAAGTTTCTCCAATCTTCTCAAAACTCTGGATTATGATAGAGGGCCGCGAGACTTTGACCTGAGCGCAAAAATGGAGGCTCTAGACCCTTCCAGAGCTGAGATATCGAAACTCAAAATTTCGACCCGAAAAAAAAACGACAGTGTTACCCCTTACGTTTTTTTCGTTTTCGGGCGAAAAATCAAGTTTCTCCAATCTTCTCAAAACTCTGGATTATGATAGAGGGCCGCGAGACTTTGACCTGAGCGCAAAAATGGAGGCTCTAGACCCTTCCAGAGCTGAGATATCGAAACTCAAAATTTCGACCCGAAAAAAAAACGACAGTGTTACCCCTTACGTTTTTTTTCGTTTTCGGGCGAAAAATCAAGTTTCTCCAATCTTCTCAAAACTCTGGATTATGATAGAGGGCCGCGAGACTTTGACCTGAGCGCAAAAATGGAGGCTCTAGACCCTTCCAGAGCTGAGATATCGAAACTCAAAATTTCGACCCGAAAAAAAAACGACAGTGTTACCCCTTACGTTTTTTTCGTTTTCGGGCGAAAAATCAAGTTTCTCCAATCTTCTCAAAACTCTGGATTATGATAGAGGGCCGCGAGACTTTGACCTGAGCGCAAAAATGGAGGCTCTAGACCCTTCCAGAGCTGAGATATCGAAACTCAAAATTTCGACCCGAAAAAAAAACGACAGTGTTACCCCTTACCTTTTTTTCGTTTTCGGGCGAAAAATAAAGTTTCTCCAATCTTCTCAAAACTCTGGATTATGATAGAGGGCCGCGAGACTATGACCTGAGCGCAAAAATGGAGGCTCTATACCCTTCCAGGGCTGAGATATCGAAACTCAAAATTTCGACCCGAAAAAAAAAACGACAGTGTTACCCCTTACGTTTTTTTTCGTTTTCGGGCGAAAAATCAAGTTTCTCCAATCTTCTCAAAACTCTGGATTATGATAGAGGGCCGCGAGACTTTGACCTGAGCGCAAAAATGGAGGCTCTAGACCCTTCCAGAGCTGAGATATCGAAACTCAAAATTTCGACCCGAAAAAAAACGACAGTGTTACCCCTTACGTTTTTTTCGTTTTCGGGCGAAAAATCAAGTTTCTCCAATCTTCTCAAAACTCTGGATTATGATAGAGGGCCGCGAGACTTTGACCTGAGCGCAAAAATGGAGGCTCTAGACCCTTCCAGAGCTGAGATATCGAAACTCAAAATTTCGACCCGAAAAAAAAACGACAGTGTTACCCCTTACGTTTTTTTCGTTTTCGGGCGAAAAATCAAGTTTCTCCAATCTTCTCAAAACTCTGGATTATGATAGAGGGCCGCGAGACTTTGACCTGAGCGCAAAAATGGAGGCTCTAGACCCTTCCAGAGCTGAGATATCGAAACTCAAAATTTCGACCCGAAAAAAAAAACGACAGTGTTACCCCTTACGTTTTTTTCGTTTTCGGGCGAAAAATCAAGTTTCTCCAATCTTCTCAAAACTCTGGATTATGATAGAGGGCCGCGAGACTTTGACCTGAGCGCAAAAATGGAGGCTCTAGACCCTTCCAGAGCTGAGATATCGAAACTCAAAATTTCGACCCGAAAAAAAAACGACAGTGTTACCCCTTACGTTTTTTTTCGTTTTCGGGCGAAAAATCAAGTTTCTCCAATCTTCTCAAAACTCTGGATTATGATAGAGGGCCGCGAGACTTTGACCTGAGCGCAAAAATGGAGGCTCTAGACCCTTCCAGAGCTGAGATATCGAAACTCAAAATTTCGACCCGAAAAAAAAACGACAGTGTTACCCCTTACGTTTTTTTTCGTTTTCGGGCGAAAAATCAAGTTTCTCCAATCTTCTCAAAACTCTGGATTATGATAGAGGGCCGCGAGACTTTGACCTGAGCGCAAAAATGGAGGCTCTAGACCCTTCCAGAGCTGAGATATCGAAACTCAAAATTTCGACCCGAAAAAAAAACGACAGTGTTACCCCTTACGTTTTTTTCGTTTTCGGGCGAAAAATCAAGTTTCTCCAATCTTCTCAAAACTCTGGATTATGATAGAGGGCCGCGAGACTTTGACCTGAGCGCAAAAATGGAGGCTCTAGACCCTTCCAGAGCTGAGATATCGAAACTCAAAATTTCGACCCGAAAAAAAAAACGACAGTGTTACCCCTTACGTTTTTTTGGGTTTTCGGGCGAAAAATCAAGTTTCTCCAATCTTCTCAAAACTCTGGATTATGATAGAGGGCCGCGAGACTTTGACCTGAGCGCAAAAATGGAGGCTCTAGACCCTTCCAGAGCTGAGATATCGAAACTCAAAATTTCGACCCGAAAAAAAAAACGACAGTGTTACCCCTTACGTTTTTTTGCGTTTTCGGGCGAAAAATCAAGTTTCTCCAATCTTCTCAAAACTCTGGATTATGATAGAGGGCCGCGAGACTTTGACCTGAGCGCAAAAATGGAGGCTCTAGACCCTTCCAGAGCTGAGATATCGAAACTCAAAATTTCGACCCGAAAAAAAACCGACAGTGTTACCCCTTACGTTTTTTTGGGTTTTCGGGCGAAAAATCAAGTTTCTCCAATCTTCTCAAAACTCTGGATTATGATAGAGGGCCGCGAGACTTTGACCTGAGCGCAAAAATGGAGGCTCTAGACCCTTCCAGAGCTGAGATATCGAAACTCAAAATTTCGACCCGAAAAAAAAAACGACAGTGTTACCCCTTACGTTTTTTTTTGCGTTTTTGGGCGAAAAATCAAGTTTCTCCAATCTTCTCAAAACTCTGGATTATGATAGAGGGCCGCGAGACTTTGACCTGAGCGCAAAAATGGAGGCTCTAGACCCTTCCAGAGCTGAGATATCGAAACTCAAAATTTCGACTCGAAAAAAAAACGACAGTGTTACCCCTTACGTTTTTTTTGCGTTTTCGGGCGAAAAATCAAGTTTCTCCAATCTTCTCAAAACTCTGGATTATGATAGAGGGCCGCGAGACTTTGACCTGAGTGCAAAAATGGAGGCTCTAGACCCTTCCAGAGCTGAGATATCGAAACTCAAAATTTCAACCCGAAAAAAAAAACGAAAGGGGTACCACTGTCGTTTTTTTTTCGGGTCAAAATTTTTACTTTCTCTGATCTTCTTGAAACTCTGGATTATGATAGAGGGCCTGAGACTTTGGCCTGAGCGCAAAAATGGAGGCTCTAGACCCTTCCAGAGCTGAGATATCGAAACTCAAAATTTCGACCCGAAAAAAAAAAACGACAGTGGTACCCCTTACGTTTTTTTGGGGGGGGGTGAAAAATTAAGTTTCCCCAATCTTCTCAAAACTCTGTATTCTGACAGAGGGCCGTGAGACTTAGTCCTGAGTGCAAAAATGGAGGCTCTAGACCCTTCCAGAGCTGAGATATCGAAACTCAAAATTTCGACCCGAAAAAAAAACGACAGTGGTACCCCTTACGTTTTTTTTGGGGGGGCGAAAAATTAAGTTTCCCCAATCTTCTCAAAACTCTGTATTCTGATAGAGGGCGATGAGACTTAGTCCTGAGTGCAAAAATGGAGGCTCTAGACCCTTTCAGAGCTGAGATATCAAAACTCAAAATTTCGACCCGAAAAAAAAAACCGACAAACCCTTACGTTTTTTTTGGGGGGGCAAAAAATTAAGTTTCCCCAATCTTCTCAAAACTCTGGATTCTGATAGAGGGCCATGAGACTTAGTCCTGAGTGCATAAATGGAGGCTCTAGACCCTTCCAGAGCTGAGATATCGAAACTCAAAATTTTGACCCGAAAAAAAAACGACAGTGGTACCCCTTACGTTTTTTTTTCGGGTCGAATTTTTGAGTTTCGATATGTCAGCTCTGAAAAGGTCTAGAGCCTCCATTTTGCACTCAGGTCTAAGTCTCACGGCCCTCTATCAGAATCCAGAGTTTTGAGAAGATTGGGGAAACTTAATTTTTCGGGGGTCGAAATTTTGAGTTTCTCTGATCTTCTTGAAACTCTGGATTCTGATAGAGGGCTATGGGACTCATACTTTACCACACACCTTTAATACCTGCTGATTAAAGACAACATGACATGGCATTAGCAATACCTTTAAATTGTGACATTTCCGAGAAAAACATTATTCAGCAGAGTCTTTTTTTCGAACAAAGCATCATATGACTTCAAAAGACACATAAATGATTTATAAAATCATAATTTTTGCAGATTGACAGATGTGTTTTTAATGAACTATTGCTATAAACATCATGAATGTACTGAATGTCTCTGAGTTATGCAAGTTTGGAACGACACGTATGAATGACAGAATTTATCATTTGCAAGTGAATTTTTTCTAGCAATAACATTGAATTTGACTGGCCATCGAGTTCACGTGGAGAGAATGCTGTTAATTGGACGAACCCCTGCAGACACACACGGGTCACGGTTCGCTTCGGCTGATCTGCTGTGGCATTTTGAGCATGTTATCCCCATTCAATATGAGCTTGATCAAAGCAACACACATTTCGAAACTCCTACCAGGAATGTCATGCAAACATGTTCCAGCCAATGCAGATAAAACTAGTTTGAGTGACATCAAGTGAGCAGTACAGTTTTGTTTTGCAGCGTTCATCATTACTCTTTTCAACTAAGACCGAAAATGACTTCATGATATTAACTTTAATAACAATAATACACATCATTTTTAACGTTCTCCGGCAAGCAGGTGCCAGACATAAGAAGAACATCCCGCAATGGAAATACAGGGATCGAATGAAGAGCACAGCAAACATAAGGCATCGTTGATCCTTCACAGGAGACGCAGACTCATGAGAAACACAGATATGGCACGGCGGTTCAGAGATGGGACGGTCCTGCTGTAAGCTCCTTTGGACAATGAGACGCTGCGATCCCAAGTTAAGATTCATATGAATCAGTCTCGATTACAAACAGAATCAGTTCATTCAGCTGAATCACTTTAATAAACAGTTCATTCGTAAAAGCTCCCGAATCTCAGACTGAGGAAGACTGTGATATTGAAGGCGAGGATAAAACGAGTCCATATAACCGCACCTGAAGCCTGGCTCCGTCTCAAATTCACTACAAAATGCTGCTCGTCTTGTTTTCTAGTAAAAATAAATGAATTAAAAAGCGCTCTCAGAACAAACAAAGAATTCCCTGTAATGCAGAACTGAAGATATTAAGATTTGTTTTCAAAAATATATTTTTATAATGTTTTTTTCTTATTTCAAGCATTTTTGTTGTTGCTTAAAACAGGAAAAGACAAATTACTTTAGCATAAAATATATTTGCTGAGAGAAAAACTTGTTACAATAAGGTTCGGTTTGTTCACATCAAACTAAAAATGAACAATTTTGTACAGAATGTAATTCACAAAAACAATATAGATTAAATGTTTTATTTATAACAAGTTAATTAAAAATGCATATGTATAATAAAAACTGTGTATGCAGAAATGAATGCTATAAAATTTTTCATTGTTAGTTGCATTAGCCAATGCTAACATCCAGAAGTTATTACCTAAAAACATTTCTTGTAAAACTTTAGGTTTTATTTGTTTATATAAGTTAATATATTAACCAACATGAACTAACACTGAGCAATTCTTGTCAATTGTTTTTAAATGTTGAAATTAGCATTAAGATTAATAATTGCTTTAGAAGTGTTCCTTGTAGTTAACTAATGTTAACAGATCAAACCTTATTGCGAAGTTTATGTATCTTATTGTGCACGTATCTTTATTAGAAAACAAGACGATGATTTTGATGTGACGGCAGATGCGATATAAACACGTTTGGTTTTACACAAACAGTCCGAGAGCTGCGACTTGTGAGAGCCGGTGTGCGATTGGACGCGGCCGCCTATGAAAACACGCCGTCGGGACGTGTGGACCACGAGGACGGGGCCGAGAACCTCATGGTCAAGTCTAAGGTGCTTGGTTTTGCGCCTGTAAAGCTGCCTTTATGGAGATGGAATTATGGGATCTCTGTGAGATGGTCCCGGGTGATACGATCCTCGTGTGGAGAGCAGCACGTGCGTTCGGTCCCGTCCGGCCCCAGGCCTTCGTCCTCTTCCTCAGTACAGGCTCCAGGCCCGGTGAAGCTGAGAGTAAGACAGGACTGAGGATGAAGAGGAGGAGGATGAAGACTCGATGGGACCAAGCTGCTTCCCACACACGCAGGTTCAGTCCATCTTCTCCTTCTGCACCAGTTTGGGCGCGTCCACAAAGTCCCGGCCGTTGAAGAGGATCACGCCGCCGGTCACGACACTCGCCAAGCCCCAGAACAGCACGTACGCCAGAGTCTCCGTCCAGGTGTCGCCTGGGTAATAGAAGGAGAATGAGCAACCGTTTACACAAGCACTGATATTAATTCAAATATTACAATATTAAGGCAAGTCAAGGGTGAATGAAGTAAAAAAAAAAGTGAACTAATAGATATCGCCATGCTTCCACCAGTTGATTAATTACAAGAAGAAATGCAAAGCATGTTTTGCATTGAAATTTTTCTGAAAAGGTGTTGAAATATGCAAATTAGGCATTATCTAATTAAATATGCACATTTTGCATATATTTCCAGGACAGAAATCTTAGTTTTTACAGAGGGGATTTTGGATCTCTCTGAAAATACTGCCAACGAACAGAAAATAAATGTGAGTTATTAGGAATTAAATGTTATATACATCAGGTGAATGATATATGAATAAAAAAAAAAACCTCAATATGAACTGTCAATGAATTATACAAATGCAAAGTATAATAAAATAAACACTTAAATGTCCTTTCCATTATTCTGAATGAAGACATGTTTGGGAAGTAAAATAGTTCAAAATCCAGTGCACGAAAAAACATGGTTTTGACTGTATTGTCTTGCCTTAACATTAATGCTAATATTAATATTAATGTTAATCAGTGTCTTACCAGCCATAAGGAGGCATATGATGCACATTGAGAAAGCAACCACCATGATGATCGGTAGCTGAAAGAGAGGAGAGAAAAATGTCAGCACTGATCGCAATCATTTTTAGCCTTTTGACAATATTAATCTAATTCTCCATATTAACGCCAAAAATAATGCTGAAGAAATTGAAGTAGCGACAGATTTTTTTTTTCATATTGTGATGTGCATTGTAGTGTAATGGATTATTGGAGGAAAAAAAAATGTAGGCCTGGTCTTGGTTGTATTTGTCAGTTGTTGATTGGATGTTGAGATGTGGGCGTGGCACTAAAAAATGGAGTCGGGTACGGGGTTTAAAAATCCTGCTGCTGAAAACATGTAACGAGAGGACAAGCAGGACAATGGCCTTAGTTTCCTCTGGGTTCAGAGCTTCTTACCGTGAGGAACTTCCAGTCTTTGGGCTCATGTAGAGGAGTGTTTATATCTGCCTCTTCCACTGCATAGTTCCCCAAGAACAGGTCAATGGAGTCCTGGAGGAAAAATAAAAAATAAATATATATATATATAATATATATATATTATTCACAGGATTAATTCCTGCACTCTACAGATCAGTGTAAAATTCCTTTACATATCTGTCAATCTGCAAAAATTATGATTTTATAAATTATTAATAGGACTCATGTGTCTTGACGGACTGAAATATCTACAGACACAGCAAAGAAATTAAACACAACACATCTTTTTTGTATTTTCTACTGATTTACACTAGACAACGGTTTTTCCAAGCTGAGATGATTCATGAGATGATAAAAAATGTATAACTAATTATTTAGTTATTTATTCAAATAATTGTAATAATTAATAATATAAATAATAAACGAATTAAATTATACAAATTTAAAATAAAAAATAAGCAAATAAAAAAACTATTAAAATAAAACAATTAAGTCATTACATCATAAAAATACATAATAATATTTAATTATTTTAAAATGGAAGAAAAAAAAATCAATATTTAAATTGAAATACATGTAAATGCATTGTTAAATTATTTAAGCATTAGTATTTCAATAATAATATGCATAATAATATTTCTGGTCAAAGCGGTTTGGAACAAGAAATGATATCTTTTACACAGATTTCATGGCCCCAGATTATTTTGTTGTATGAATATCTGAACACAGAATTTATATAAAAAGAAAGAGCTGACCCCTGCTTTTATATAATATAAAAAAATATTATAGTGTCATGCTTTTTTTTATATCAACACTTTTCATGAATACTATTTCATGAACATTATTTACACGTTTTACAACATTTTGACAAAAACTGAGAAAATCACGTTTTTGTCAAAATTACGAAAAATCTTGTCGATGGTGGGGAAAGAGCCAACAATTTCTACTGAATCCATAAATCATGCATTTTTTAAATGTTAAAATGCTATTTAAAATGTGTTTAAGATAAATTAAAGGTGCAATGTGTAACAAAGTTGAGTATCTATTAACAGAAATGCAATATGACATCCATAACTATGTTTTCAGTGGTGTATAAAGAACTTACTTAATTAGCCGTAATGTTTTTATTACCTTAGAATGAGACATTAATAGCTCCATAACCGAGGGAATCCCCTTCTATGAAGGTCGCCATGTTGTGACGTCATATTCCTACCGTAGCCGAACGCGAACAAACAGCGCATCAGAACGCGTTTCATCACTATCTTGAAAGAGAAGTAGCGGAAAGCTGGAAGCTAGCCTTACACTCCGTGAGTAGTGACTTTTCCCTTGTGAGTGGTGTAAAATATGTAGTTGGGATTGTTTCATGTAACTTAGTTCTCCCTCGCTGTGTTATGGGTTTGTTATGTTGGGGATAGATGTGCTGTTACGTTCGTGAGACAGCTGATGATTAGTATTCATGTCATTGACCGTAAAACAGTACGTTACAGGAATCACTAACCCGTCGATAGAGACTTTTACTGAAGTCTTTTATCACTAAAGTCGATCGCGAAGAATTTAAAAAATCAGAGAAAAAAAGCCTATTGTGTGTAGTAAATAGTATCTATGGGATGCGGAGATGACATGATTGTAACAGCGCGCGCACTTCCGACCTTTGGACTCATGCGGACGCGTCCCAGCTCAGCCACAGTAACAGCTCATATTAGCCAGCTAAACTATTACTACCCTGTTAGAAAAAAATATATAGCTGCTCCCTCGCTGTATTATGGGTTTGCTACAGTATGTGGGGATAAATGTGCTGCTGGTTACGTTTGTGAGACAATCAGCTGATTATTATTTTATTAAATTATATATTAAAACCCTTGATCCTCACCTGACTATGGCTTTGTAAACAGACAGTATTCATGATGTGGTTTATAATGGACTGTGGTACAGAAACAGTGACAATGTTACACACTCTTGGCTTACTCTGGCTATTCTCTGCTGTCTCAGCCGACGAGATGTTTGTCCCGTTTTAGCAACCGTAGCTTCTTCGAAAGGGAGGGGTGAGCAGTGGGCTGAGCCCTTAGTGCAAACCTGGTGCAAACTCGCAACCGAACCACTAGATGTCGCTAAAAGTCACACATTGCTCCTTTAAGGAACAATGCTTTGTCCATGTGAGGCTCACCTGTCTGAACCCATCCGAGAAGTTGTTCTTGTAGTATCTGATCATGGAGTTCCATCCGTCCATCAGCAAACCCCACTGGGTTCTCTTTCCTGTCCTGAGGACACAGACAACCAATCATCTTCTACACTGCATCTAAACATTTACTCTCAGACACAAGCAGAGCAGAAGACGGTCCTTCTTACCGAGTGAAATCAGTCTTCAGGGCTCCAGTGCCAGCGTACTGTTTGGCACACGCATTGGCATTATCCGCCCATGCTGCAGGGAATTAAAACAAAGAAAGCAAGAATAGAAATGGTATGAATGAGACAGTCTCACATAGCCAGATTATTGAATATCAGCATTAGTTTTTGCTCACCATTCTTGTATATTTTTTCAAAATCCGCCTGTTCTTCAATCCGCTGCCCCACATGTAAAACTCCCATCCTCTACACACAAACAAGACAAAATATGAGGAAACCTCACAGCTAAAATACAAGAACCAAATCTCATCTATTTATTTGTGTACTCCTAAATGATGATTTTTCAGCTTATATAAGACATTACACACATTTTAGCCCTCAAACCGTATTCACTTTATAGCCCTAAATCCTGTAATTGTGGACAAATGTGGGCACAGAGGCAGAGGCGTAGCAAGCTTTTGAAAAGTGTGGGGGATGGATGTGTCATTTAAATGTAGGCATGTTATGTAGACCCCTGTCCCTCTAGGGGGGTTCGGGGGCATTGTGCCGCCCATTGAATGAATGCGAGACTCCGGTTTCCTTAACAGATGTTTATTAACACCGTAGAACTAAAAGTTCAGATAAACAAACAAAAGACAACATAAAACATTGCAATCAATTGCATGGATCACATGGCTTGCACTGAAGCTAAAGAATACAGAAAAATACTGACCACTTTAGCCTGCTTCTCAATCAACGGCAGAGTCATTCCCCAGAAGCAATCTTCATAGTCAAAATATGATTCTTCAACTTGTACACATTTACAGCAAACACCATGAAAAATTAAGCAACAATAAAGAAAAACTAGAAGATGCCATCACCGACACATGTGCGCGTTAACCTCCTCTGCCGCACACTGCGTTTTCTTCGTCTGTAGCTCACTGTGCAACAGACCTTCCTTCCGGTTTTACTCATGTCAAAATAAAAGTAAGTATTTTTAAAATAAATACAACAAAAAAAACACGGCAGCATTTACACTCCCACCATCACACCTTGTGATTCACATTACAACATTGTCAACAGAATCTTGTAAAACATTGATGTAAATACACATACACCTTCAATTATAAACAAAACGATATTGAAGAACTAACCTACTTACTCAGCCTCAAGCAATAATACTGTTTTGTGTATTGACCTTTCTAAGTAAAGTGGCTTATTTGAGCGTGTGCCTTTACTGTCTAGTGTTGTGTCACTAAGTAACAGCTTGAGTTTTCGGACTCTTCCGTCAGCTCCTTGGAAGACTTCAACTACCTTCGCAAGCTTCCACTGAGTTCTTGGTGAGCCATCATCTTGCAACAGGACAATGTCATTCACTTTAGCATTTCTCCTTTCCTTGTTCCATTTGCTCCTCTGCTGCAGATTCAGCAAATACTCCTTTCTCCACCTGGTCCAAAATTCATTGCACAAGAACTGTACTCTCTTCCATCTTTTCTGAAGATAGAGATCTTCCCTTACAAACTCACCAGGTGGTGGAGCGATTATTGACGATTTCATCGTCAATATGTGGTTTGGTGTTAGGGGTTCAGGTCCTGAAGGATCATTGAGATGTTCTGTGGTCAATGGTCGACTATTCACTATAGCCATCACTTCGTACAGGAATGTTCTTAATGAAGAGCTGTCTAATCTTCCAGCAGACTGGTCTAGGATAGATGTGAGGACACTTCTCACGGTCCGAATCTGCCTCTCCCAGACGCCGCCCATGTGACTGGAAGCAGGTGGGTTCATGACAAAGTTGCATCCTAGCTCTTTCACATGTTCTCGCTCCATCCCTTTCATTAATTCTTGGAATTCATTGCGTGCTCCCACGAAGTTTGTGCCTTGATCACTTTGAAGCTGGCTTACATTGCCTCTTATGGCAATAAAACAGCGCAACGCATTTAGGAAGGCATCAGTGGAAAGGTCATCCAGCACCTCAATGTGGATGGCACGTGAACACATGCAGGTGAATAGAAGCCCATATCTCTTTAGGTCTTTTCTTCCATCTTTAACATAAAATGGTCCGAAGCAATCCATACCACTATAAGTAAATGGAGGAGTAGCTTCCATCCTCTCTGGTGGAAGGTCGGCCATTTTTTGTTCTTGACTACACCTTCTGAGCTTTCTGCATTTGATGCACTTGAAAATGAGTGATGACACTTCACTACTACATCCAAGGATCCAAATCCCACTGGAGCGTAGTTCATTGATGGTCATTCCACGACCCTGATGCTTCACCTTCTCATGATAGTGTTTTATCAACAACCGAGACACATGGTGTCCTTTGGGAAGGATAGCTGGGTGTTTGACATGAGGGTGAAGCGTTGCTTGTGTCAATCTACCTCCCACCCTCAGGATATCTTGGCTGTCCATAAAGGGGTTCAACTTATGCAGTTCGGTTGACTTGCTCCTTTGTACATCACCCTTTTGTTTAAGAGCCTTGATTTCATCCTTGAACGCTTCTTCTTGAACTGCACGGAATATGAATTTTTCAGCATCCATTCTCTCATCAAGTGCCGTAACTTCATTGGATCTTATTTTAAGACCTTTCACCTCCTTTGCAAGACGCTTAAGTCTTGCTATGGCTCTTATTACCCTCTTCCAGTCTGAAAACTTCTGAAGTCGGTCTGATAGGGACCTTTCCTTATTTGCTATGGTTGTGTGAACATGTGCTCTTCTGATTTCTGGGTCATCCTCATTGAGTTCTTCCACCTTAATCTCTTCTTTATGGAGGTCCTTTTGCCACAAGAAACTAGGTCCAGTGAACCAGTTAGACTCTACAAGCTCCTTTGCGTTGAGCCCGCGCGAGGCATGGTCAGCCGGGTTACTGTCAGATGCAACATATTGCCATTGACTTGGATCCGTGCTCGACTTAATCTGCTGAATCCGATTGGCTACAAATACATGAAATCGCCTTTCATCATTGTTAATATAACCAAGAACGACCTTTGAATCAGTCCAAAAGTATTCTTGCAGATCTTTAATCTCCATTTCTCTCCTTAGCAGATCACTTGTCCTTGTGGCCACGACCGCAGCTGAGAGTTCCAGCCTTGGGATAGTTGTTATCTTAGTTGGTGCAACCCTTGCCTTGCCCATAACAAGAGCGCAATGGACTTCTTCAGACTTCGAAACAACTCTAAGGTAAGAACACATTCCATAGCCAGAGACACTGGCATCGGAGAAATGGTGAAGTTCACACTGACGAACATCCTTGGCTGCCAATGGTATGTAATGCCGTGGTATCTCTACCGAGGACAGACTATGAAGGTCTTGGAGCCATGCTTCCCAATGTGGCCTAAGGTCGTCAGGAAGTGGGTCATCCCATCCTACCTTTTCCTGGCACATCCTTTGTAGTATCTGTTTACCCTTCAAAAGAATAGGTGCCACAAATCCAAGTGGATCAAAAATTGAGGCCACTGTTGACAGTACTCCTCTTCTGGTAAAAGGATGCTCTTTTACCTTCACTTTGAACTGGAACTTATCCGAGCTAATGCACCATTGGACCCCGAGAGCCCGTTCCATCTTGTGCTCACCCAAGGCCATGTCCAGGTCCGCTACAACTTCAGCAAGTTCTTGCTTTGGAATTGTGGCAAGAACCTTCTTGTTATTGCTGATGAACTTGTGTAAGCGGAGTTTACCGGTGCTGCAGAGGTCTCTTGCTTCTCTAACAAGCTTGATAGCTTCTTCTTCACTGTCCAAACTTGTTAGTCCATCGTCAACATAAAAGTTGCGTTGTATAAACCTTACAGTAGCTTCACTGAACTTGCCTTCTCCTTCTGCAGCAAGGTGTTTGAGCCCAAAGTTTGCGCATCCAGGTGACGATGCAGCGCCGAACAAGTGAACTTTCATGCGGAACACTGACGGTGGAGCTTCCATATTGCCTCTTTCCCACCACAAAAACCTGAGATAGTCTTGATCCATTGGTGCAACATGAAATTGATGGAACATCCGCTCTACATCACACATGATGGCTACTTGTCCTTTGCGGAAACGACACAAGACCCCTACAAGGGTATTTGTAAGGTCTGGGCCGGTGAGTAGATGCTCATTCAATGATGTATTCTGAAACTTAGCTGAACAATCAAATACCACACGAATCTTTCCTGGCTTTTGGGGGTGGTAAACCCCATGGTGAGGGATATACCACGTGTTCTGATTGATCACCTCTGACTCTGGAACCTTTTCAGCGTCACCTCTTGCTATTACGTCCTCCATAAAGGCCACATAATCCTTGTGATATTGACTGTCTTTCTTAAGACGCTTCCCCAGACATTTGAGTCTATGTTCTGCACACACCTTGTTGTTTGGCAGACTTGGCCTCTCTTCCTTGAAAGGCAATGGCATTTCGTAATGCCCATTTGCCTTCTGCTTGATTCTCTCCTTTAGCTTCACCAAGAACTTAATATCTTCTTGTGAGATTAGAGATTCTTCACTGAACTTCTCAGTAAAATCTGACTCAAAGACCTTGAGTATATCTGCTGGAGTGATCATTTCCTTCACTTGAGTCCTATAAACAAAATGAACCTCAGACTTGAGCTCAGAAGAGGGCTTAGTGGCTGGCTGAACTTTCTTTATGATGATCCGGTGACTCACACCAATTTCATCTTCATCAGCATAGTCAATTACAGGTCTGCTGTAGCCAATAATGCTCCAACCCAACACAGACCTTTGTGCATATGGCTGGGTTTCATTGCCCATGATGACCTCTCTGGGAAGTAAGGCTTGTGGACAGTTATAGCCGATTAACAATCCCACTTCACAGTCAAGCTCAGGAGACATCTCATCCGCCAAATGCTCTAAGTGAGGCCAGGATCTTGCAGTTGTACTTGTGGGTATATGGGATCTGTTTGCTGGTATGTAATCTCTGGTATAAGTTGTTGGGAGTTTGATTTTAGTGTCAGAGCTGATGCCTCTTACCTGTAGTCCTTGCACCTTTTGGCTATTCACCACCTTTGTTTTTGATGTTATCGTGGACACTTTGAGTTTTACTGGCTCTCTCTTGGCACCCAATGTTACAGCTGCATCCTTCAGAATGAACGTGGTGTCGCTCTGACTATCAAGTAAAGCATACACTAAAACTTCCTTGTCTGGTTCCATTGTTGTGGAGACATAGACTGGAACGATAGATGAAGTATAGGTGGTGCTCTTCTCTTGCACAACTCGATTAGAAGTAGCTTGTTGTATTTCAATCGGTTCAGACTGTTGGTACTTGTTTCCTTGCTCTTGGT